ATCTTAATTATGTGTGGATTCCCAGCTTGCTCCATGAGAGACTCCACAATCAACGCTCAATCAACAAAGAGATTTGTTCCTGTGTAGTTTGCAAGGAGAGTAAATTGGGAATAAATGTTTCATGTGAATGTAATAATGGACGGTACTAATCTGACCCACTTTGGCCTGAATATAGATGGTTTCTTTCTTTCGTTGGAACTTTCCTGACTGAGTAAAACAACTCAGATGTTTCAGAGCAGCAGCTAAATTCTACAATTTCACCCCAAAAAAAGTATCAGTTCTTCCTTTATTTTCTCAGTTAGCATTACGTTATTTCTTATAAAAGTTGGTAGCTGGCTTAAAATGGAAGATCACAGCCAACATGGTACCTGGAACTGTCTCTTAAATGGGGACATATTCTGGATTTCTTCTGTTCATGGGAGCATACCTAGGCTTTGTGTTTTTTTTAGTGCCTTTGTAATGTTCCTTACTGGTTATCAATTCAAATTTTCGTCACTGCTGGAATTCATCAGCCTCTTATGTTGAACCCCAAAATCCACCCTACAGCATCCACCCTGCTGGGAGGTAGAAGCAGCCTATAGTGGTGTGCCTAGAGGTTGACGGGTAGATAATAAGGCTTGCTAATCTATTTGATTTCTCATTTCCCCATTGCTACCACTAACATCTTAGTCAATGGAATGATGAACAACAACAAGGTATCACGTGTTAAAGGATGAACAGCGTTATCAACCTCCACTTTGTGGCTGCAGAGTGGCATTCTACCTAGATAAGGAGTTATCCAACACATCCTCTCCTCACTTAGGGGCATTACTACAGAATACACCGTGGGTATCCTGGTCCATTACTGTTACCGTAGATGAGAAAGCACATGCATGGGCTGCTAAGCTATTTCCCTCTGTGGTCAGTAGAGGAAATGTCAATTTCTGTAAATGTGGTGGAGAGTTTAGTTATGGAATGTTTAGTTATATATAGTATGGTATGGTATGTTTATGTTTATGCATTTGGCAGACGCTTTTATCCAAAGCGACTTACAGAGTAGACACAATATTACATTTTTTCATCACTATGACAATAGGCTATATAGAGGAGAAACACTGATCAGAGTCAGTGGTGAGATAGAGATAGAGGTAGAGGGACTACAGAAGGAGTTGTGGAGGGGGGGTGGAGGTACGGGTTAGGATTAGGATAGGAGATGCTCTTTGAAGAGGTGGGTCTTCAAGAGTTTCTTAAAGACAGACAGGGACTCTGCTGTTCTTGTGGCGCTTGGTAGGTGGTTCCACCATCTTGGAACGACACATGCAAACAGTCTGGATGGTCTTAAGCGTGGTGAAGGCACTGCTAGACGACAATCCATTGATGACCGGAGTGATCGAGTTGTGACATAAGCCTTTGCAAGAGGACTCAAGTAGATGGGAGCCGTGCCCTTAAGCACTTTGTAGGCTAGCATCAGGGACTTGAATTTGATACGGTCAGCCAGAGGTAACCAGTGGAGTTCAATGAACAGAGGTTTTTCTGTTCTGTTTCCACCTCTCAACCAACCTGGGCTCGGGACTGCTGTTTCAATCTGTGGTAGAGAAGGACCTCCATACTTTCACCAACAGATGTTTGGACAGAGGCATTTCTCATTTAAAGGAAGTTGTGTCAAATGGCTAAAAGAGGGCACCATATTCCATCACCAATCTTCTGCAATCATGCTCCCACACCTGATCTTGTTCCACAGATACTGCTCTGTTTCCATAGTTTCTTATAGGTGCATCATAGTTTGATGTTGCTAGATGTTGGGATATTCTCAATGTTTAAGTTAGGGTAAGTTAGTTTGAAGTTAATTCTGAGACTTTACTGTCACGGGGCATCTGCTGGCCCTTAAGCTGTCACTGGGATGCGCAAATGATAAAAGAAAACTACAAAATTAGTCGGCACATTGTCTAACCTCACTCAGCGTCACATTAGAATATTTTTTAAGTCATCCATGTGAATGTTTCTGGTCTAACAGAGGAATTAATTGGCCCCCCGTTGTGGGCAAACCTGCTGGAGCTGCACAGTCAGACTCCGGGTCCAGGCAGATATATTTCTGTGCACAAGGGTGTGTTTTTACGACAGTGTGTGTATCATTTACCTACACACTTTTCATTCATTCCCCGCTCCCCTGATGGAGAGCTAACCTGCTTCGGGCTATCATCAAAACACAGACAGGACTGATTTGGGACTTGAAAGGCAAAGGGGGGCTGCTAAAACCCAAAAAGTAAGAGAAAGAACACATAAATGAACTAAAGTGCCATAGTGAAACAATAGTCCAAATCTATTATAATCGACAAATAGTATGAGACATTATTCCACATCTATAAGCAAATCTTCAGGAGTCTCCAGAGGCTCCATCAGCTGGATGTGCACGTTAGAACCATGCTCATTTTATTTAGAGTACTGTGTGCTGGCCTGATGGAACAATTACCGGCCCCAATACAAATAAGAACAGGTGCAAACAGGAAGTGGGTCACCAGACATGGATAGTTCCAAACATAGGAGATAGTAAGGGCCTCTGTGACTGCTAAAGGTTTCGCTCATGGACAAGATAGGGTAAAAAAGGTGGAGATTTCATCATCCGAACCAATGCAATAGAGAAACAAACATTACACAAGTGTCTCTGTAACAACACACAACTTCAAGATGATTGAAAAAATCATTAGGCATCATACAATCGTTTTAGTAGTGGATGCATCTGGGGGATCATGTCCACCAGTATGCTCCAAAAGAAATGTGTGCGGAAATAGCAATGCAGAGGGGAAAGAGAGTGTATAGAACACAATTCTCTTCAAGAAAAATAAATACGCAGCAACAAAAAGCACAACACAAGCAGAATTTGTGTGTTGTGTGACATCAGGACTCACAGATTCCATCAACACAGCAGGAGGAAAAGAAATTGCTCCTACTGGAGGTGGTGCTAATGGCTTTACACCGGGAGCGTCACTGTGTGTGTGTGAGTGTGAGTGTGTGTGAGTGTGTGCGTGCTGATTGATTGAACTTGCCAAGTCCATCTCCACTCTCCCTGCTGGGAGCCCGGAGTGTGAAACTGCCAAAACAGCAAATAACCAGGACAAACAGTCACACACACAGAGTGGCTTTCCAACACAAACCCTCTTTGGGTTTGTGTTGCCTTCATTGTCCCTCGCTGGTGTCTTTGCAAAGACACACACAGATACACACACACGTTCCTGCTCGTCTTCATCTCAACCGTCATCCACTAAATCAGACTTTACATGGCTTTTAACTATCTCACCTTCCTCGCTTTACTTTTGCTGTCCAATCATTCCACACAGACAACAGAAACGTGCACATTAGTGTACACACACAGGTACAAAAACACATCACTACAATAGACGGAGCAATCAATCTTAATTAATGCCACTTGTGCTGTTGTTCTCCTGTTTCTAAAGCTCTGTTTTCAGGTGTATCGTACTCCCAAATGCACATTCACGCTCAATTTAAATCCACTGTCTCTTTTTTTTCAGTTGCGACAAGAAAAAAGACTCTTTGTTTGTGTGTTCCGATGGCTCCTATAAGACAACCTGAACTGTGCTGCCGCCCAGTCTGAAGGGAGACTACTAGCAGTGCTCACTGGAGGGAAAAAAATAGGTCAAATTTTGATATTAAAAAAGGCAGAGAGCACACAGCCTGAGGCGAGAAAAGTTAAAGTAAATTATAAAACAAGCGTTGCTGTCATACCGATGTTTATGTGATGGTTTGTTGTGACGCAAATTCAGAAATGAGACGCAACATGACGAATAAGCACTAATGAGTCATGTTTAGTTTGTAAAAGAAAGAACCCCGGCTTTGCACGACGATTAAGGGAGTTCTCATACTCCCTTACTTACTAATTACCACTAATTATCATGGTTCCGATTAGAATACATACTTTTTACAAGGCACCAGCTATTAGTTAATAAGAAAATGGGCTCAGGCTGTTGGACATGCACTCTACATCAACATGGCAGCTTGTTTTCCATCACTTATTGACATTTCTAACAGTTATGATCTCTCTTTTATTAGCTGCAGAAGAGACCTGTTTCTTCACTTCACACCCCAATTTTCCAGAATTTTAAATCTGACAGAAGGCAACCATATTTCTAGTTGCTAATGGCTGTAAAACTAAATGAAGCACGTCTCAATGGAACCGCGGCCTCATTCAGGCTGTTTTCTAACACCTATTAACACAACTGAATTCTTTCTGATCTCATGCGTTGATCTGAGTCACATATTTCTTGGCCTCGTGTGCTTTATAAGCAAAGAAGAAGACACCCCGTTGAGCACAGAGCCAAGACTGCATAAGGGATTAAGTCTTGTTCTTGTGAGCACCACCTGATTGAGTTTGTGACAGAGAAGGCCCCAAGTCATGGTATTCTCCTGTGATTAGTAATTACAAACCCATTTATCAGGATCCAGAATGAAGGTGCGCGTAACTGGTTGTACTGATTGACCAGTGACTGATTGAATGATTTCTTGACCTGGGAGACTCAAAGACAACCTCAAAAGATCTCGTAATGAAAAGGAAAGAGGTTTAAAAAGAATTAAAAAACAATAAAAAAAGAAAATGAACCCAAACACCCAGTTAAGGATTTGTTTCCTTCCCCTGGAAAGTTGTTTTTCTGCTTCAGGCAAAGCTAGAAGAAGCAACAGCTCCAGAACAAATGGTAGCCCATATTTCAAGGTTGCTTAGACCAGCCCCAAGTAGCTCCAAGAAGCTGTAAAAGGAGGTTTGCAAAGCTGTGATCGGGACCTACACGACTTGCACACGGAGCAAAGGCACACGTGAGGTGGATGTGTGCAGGGCACCCCAGAACTCTGCGTGGGGATAACAGGGGCCAGCAGAAGTACGCAAATGTAGATTTTTAGAAAGAGACGAGAGAGGAGGGCACAGGACAGAAATGATGCAGGTCGGGTGCTCCTACTCACAGTCGGGACAGGGCCTCGTTCTTCTGAAACAGCAGCTCCGGAAGCTGACCCAGACGATTTCTGTTGAGGCGACTGTGGAGGATTAAATGGAGGAAAAACAGAGGGTTAAAACATCATGGTCAGCCCAGAAGAAAGCGTTTGGTCATTTGACGCGCGCTGAGAATGATGTGAGTCGGTCTGTTTCGTGCTGCTTTCTTACAGTCTTTCCAGCTCCTTCAGCTCATCGAATGCTCCTCTTTCAATGGTGCTGATCTGGTTCTCCATCAGGTGGCTGCAAATGAAGAACAGGAGCTGAAATCAACCAAAGCTATCACACAAAAACCTGGTCATTAGAATAAAAGAATTCACTCACTGATTATGGTTATGGAGCATACTGATTTGTAGTATGTATGGTATTGGTAGTTAGGAATATAACAGTTGTCTCACAATGGTTTCCCATTTTAAAATAGATCACATAAGTATCAGAATCAGAAATACTTTAATAATCCCAGAGGGGAAATTATTCATAACTTCATGCCCTCATGGATGGAGTGAGTATTCGAAAGATGGACCATCGTGGTGTATTTACATATGTAGACGTTTAGCATTGATAGTGACAGAAAAAAACTAATTTCCTTTCTTTCATGATTCAGCCTGAGATAATAAACCCTTCTAGCACATTCTCTTGTCCTCAGTCCCTGATGGCATCCGTGTGTTTGAGAAAAAACATTTCACAGACCTCTACGTTGTATATGTACGTTACACAAGCGGGGGTCTTTTTCAACGCCCTCCTGACAGCAGTGAGCTTTGGCCTTCCCAAAAGGCAGCTCATTTATTCTGAACAGGCTTTCCGGAAATGCCATTAGTCCGTGGCATACCCCCCCCCTCTGTTAACACCTCGTGTCCATCACTGACAGCGAGTTAAATCAGAACCCTCGGGTCAACAGAGGAAACCGTCTGCTACCAAGCGTCCCTGAAGGGACGGTGTTTTCCAGGTCAAGAGGTCAGGAATACGCCTTTCTCCTTTCTGTACATCCACACAAGAGCCCCCCCCCAAATTGTGGCTTAATTCTAGCTTCAACTCACAGGACTCGGAGGTGTTTCAGACCAGAGAAGTCGGCCTTGGTTATGACTGTCAGGTTGTTCCCGTTCAGATCTCTGAAAAACAAACAAGAAAATAGATAATTAGAGAGGAGAAAACAGAAATCTATCTATCTATCTATCTATCTATCTATCTATCTATCTA